AAAGTGAACAAAAATGAATTGATCACGAAACAAAAAGAACAAACAAGTAGGCAGCCAAATCAAAATGTTCTTACGAAAGATAAACAAGATGAACAATCAAATGGCGAAAGAGAATTACACAAAGAAAATAAACTGTTAAGAGACATTCAAGCAATAGTGAACATATAAACATGCCAGTAAACAAAAAAAAAGTAGACATGAAAACAGTATACCTTAAAGAATAACGAGCATATCACATAAAGTAATTATTGCAAGGGGACTATAGAAGTAGTATAATAGAAGAAGAAAAGAAATAATTGTAAGTAGGAGGGAGACTATGATAGGTAGCGGGAGATGAGATATTCTTTGTACCCTGATTTGAATCCGCCCACAGAGGACTTTGTTCTCAAGGCTGTATCTAAGCTGTTCCAAAGACGAGGGCCATGGAAACGAGGAGTGTTCATGTAAAGTTGTGCGAGAGAATGGGACATAGAGATTATTTCTGGAACGTGTGTTATATTCATGAATGTCATGCACAGAAGTGAAAAAAGGTGGAAAAAACTTGAGGTAAAATTTTGTTAGTGTACTTAAACATGAAAATTCCTGTTTGAAGTTTGTTAATATCCGTGAGCGTTAGTGTGCGAAGTTTTGCAAATAGAGGTGCAGTATGATCTCGTGGTTGTGAGAGGGTGCAGAGTCTGATGGCCCGCTTCTGCATGACAATAAGGGAGTGGAGTTGGTTAGTACTGGATCGTGCCCACACAATATTACAGTAATTAAGGTACGGAAGAATGAGTGTATTGTAAAGAGTGAAAAGAGTTGTTGATGGAAGAAAGGTGCGAAGCTTGGAAAGAACACCTGTATTGCGGGAAACGATTTTGGTAATTGTGGAAATGTGGTCACTCCAGGTAAGGTGATCATTAATCACAACACCTAAGAATTTGGTACTGTGAGCGACCGATATTGGCATACCATCGATGTAAATGGATGGAAAAGAATCGGGAGAAGAACTTGCTTTATGAAAGAACAAACATTTTGTTTTGCTTGCATTCAGAGACAGTTTGTTGGCTTTAAACCACGAAGACACCTTGATAAGTTCTGCATTGAGGATATGTATTAGAGATTCAAAATTAGGATTAGAATAGGTGACAGGGTGTCGTCTGCGAACAACAGAAAAGAATGTAAAGAAGAAGAATTATTCAGATCATTAATATACAGCAGAAAGAGAAGGGGGCCAAGTATGGACCCTTGAGGTACTCCATGCGTAATGTCGCTTCAGCTGGAAGATGCTTTATGGACCACAGCAGCCTGTCAAGTAGCTCTCAAACCAGTCAAGAGTATGTCCTCTAATTCCATAGTAGTTGAGTTTGGAAAGAAGAATGCCGTGATCGATTGTGTCAAATGCCTTAGAAAGGTCGATGAAGATACCTGCGGTTGAAAGTTTGTTGGATAAAGAACTAGAAATAATGTCAGTAAGATGAATCAGAGCCATGTCCATGGAATGTTGTGGGCGGAAGCCGAATTGCTGATTGAAAAGAATGTTGGAGTAAGACAGAAATTTTGCCAAGCGATTATAAACAATTCGCTCAAGAATTTTAGAGAAGGACGGTAGAACAGAAATAGGGCGATAGTTATGAATGTCCTCAGAATTGCCAGATTTGTACACAGGTGTAATTTTGGCAATCTTCAGATTCGAAGGGACAGAAGCGGAGGATAGAGACAGATTGAATATGCGAGCAAGAGGTTCAGCTATATACATGTACCGTGTACGTAATGACCGATTTAACAATAGAGGAACGAATGTCATCAAACCCGCAGCTGGTGTCACTCCTGAGTGATTTGCCGATTTCAACGATTTCAGCGGAAGTGGTCGGGCTAAGAAAAAAAGAAGAAGAGTTAGGTTCGTGAAGATAATCATTGAATTGTGAGTTAGTGGATGGAATTTTGTTAGCAAGTGTAGTGCCAATATTAGTAAAGTAGGAATTAAATGAGATGGCATTGTCAGCGGGATTGGAGAACACCTGTTGTCCATCTGAACATTTCTCCGGAAGACCTATATTTTTGCCTTTTCCAAGGATTTTATTTATCTCTCGCCAGCATTAACCGGCTATTCAAAGCGTACTGCGTGTGTATACATGTATTTCGAAAACTGCACGCCCTGTGTGTAAGCGCTTGGGCGTTATCTCCTGCACGTCACGTCACATACAAACATTTTTCAAAACTGCGCGATGCCTGTATGATATGGATAAAGGACGCCTCGTTTTTAACCTCAGAAAACCTGTATCTTATGATGTAAAGTGACGACGAAGGTACGTCAAATCGAAATCTCATGTTTGAAAGGATTGATCCTAAAAAAAAACCCTTTCAAAATGTTAACCACTGCGTCGTGCGTTAGATACATCAACTGCAGTCCTAATTATTTGGCACATTTAGGGTGCATTCTAGAGTGTTACTCTTGCTGCTCCCGAGTGCAGGAAAGGGGTTGTTGCTTGCACATTACTCTCGGTGCAGGAGTATACTCCCGGTATGACGGAGAGCATACTCTTGCTAATTAACCTGCGGGTCGCACTCCTGCCATTCGTGCGCTTAGGAGTATACTTTTGTTGGCACGAGTAGCTCGCTTGAACGCACCCTAGATTACACAATTCCATGGGTTAAGATCACACAAGGTATATTGGGAACCAACATGGCGCAGCAAGATCGTACCTATTGAAAGGAGGGTGTTAAGGTCATGCAGAGAGACAATCTAAATCTGGCACAATAAACTTCAAGAAGGATCAACTCTTTAGCAGTCGTAATGTTAATTGATTTAGTAATCAATGCAGCTACATGTAGAAATAATTTGGGCCTACTAAATCTTGCATGATGTTGGCCTTTCCTTGGTTGGCCTTTCCTTAGTTTTAGGTCATACTTATGTGTTGCGTAGTGAGGGGGCGGGGCATCACTGTACAGTGCATTTGCCCTATTTCTTTCGATTTGGTTCAAAGATAAAATCTTGAAGTACTTTGTTTATTTCTGTAGTGTATTTATTCTGGGCATGTTTCGATTTTGAAGAAAAACTGACACATTACACACAAAATTACAGATAATGACACTTTACAAAGAGATAAACAATAATATAAATGACCCAAATTGTCAGGGTGTGTGATTTCTGTGTGAAATCCGTGTGATTTCCTGTAGTTTCCTCAAAGATTTTAACCTTGCGAGACCAAGATACGAGTCACAGAGGCATGCCGCGAGCGGCTCGCTAACCCATCTGTACACATACTTAATATGGTACAGGAACATTAGTTGGGAAAATTGGTCATGGCTAGGCTCTGACTGATACGATTGCTATATACGGTCATATGCTTATATGGACTAGTAAAATTATCAAACAACTGCACTGGAATCTGTCCATTTTATTTCTTAAAGAGAAGATAAAAAATGATATTTTTATCAACGGACTCTTAAAGTTGGCTTCATGCAGGTAAATAATTGTAATTACTGTACATGTATTTGAAGAGTGTCAAAAGGATGGTTTGAAGTGTTCTGTTTGTTTACTTTTTGTCTGGCTGGTCCAAAGTATGATTTTCAGTGATATGATTTGTATATTATTTGTGTTGTGGATTGTGGGTGGATACTTGGACCGATATCAGTTCCAATAGTTGACAGAATACAGACCACCGACACCGGTGGCCTTCATAATAAAGAGATGTAGGGTGATAATTGCAGACAGTTCAAATGTCATTGCTGAGTGGTGTTTGCTTACACTGCATCAGTGATGTGAATCTCATCACTACACTTACTGCAGGCACTCATTGATGGTTTGACAAGATTGGATATTTGCTCATCACGTACTACGTGCATTTGACGGTATTTGTGTCCTCAAAGTGAAACGATGGAAGTGGGGTTGGATGGGAGTTGAATCCTTTGATGCTCGGGGGTTGGGGAGACACAATGAAGATCCCTTCCAGACAGTCTCTTATGTTAAATGTACGATCAGCAAATAATGACTATTGACATTGAGGCACTGATACGGAGCATGAGGATAAATGAGGAGAGGGAAAACATGGGCGGGGCATGCCACTCCTTCCACACACTGCTGTTCTGGATGTTTTTAGAAATGCTGCACTACAACGAAGGAAGTTGCCAAAACCTAACATCACTTTTTCATGCATCAAGTATTCTGTCATTATATCCAAACAGTAACAGACTTGTGATCAACATCACTGCACTGTCGGCCACAGAGCAGATTGGCATACGGCATACACCTTTCGTGGTTCTAGATGAGTGAACTATGTGGCGGAGCTGTATGATTTTTTCATTGGTTCTCCTTGTGAGACTTTTAAATTCTATCTTCCAAAGTCTTTAGCCTACTGGTATTTCAACTCCCATTTGGACAGGATCTTCCTTGACCTAAAGTCTATTTCGTGTGGTCATGTTGAGGGTCAAAGGTCACATTGTGGTCACTAGTGGTAATTTTATTGAAAGTTACTTAATGCTTTTCCTACAGTCTTCAACTAAAGCTAGCCCAGGTTTGACGCCATCTTCTCTTTCCATTACAACCCCGAAGCAAGGGTCATGGGGCTTCGTGCTTTGGTATCATATCAAAAATATTGCAAAAGACAGTATCCACACCACAAAAAAAATGATCACGGTACTCAATTCAATCCAGAAATTACAGTTCAAAGTATTTTTCAAGTTTAAATCACTTTTTATAAGTACCCAATGACATCACGATGACGTTGCTCATAAGTTCAGTCAGTCATGGTGCCTACCGCTTGCCAGCAGGGGGGCTATCAGACAACCTTGTCTGTTTTGCGCTGCTCTCACACATCCCTCATACGTCTTGCCTCTCCACTCCAAGATGTCTGTTGTACACTTGCGTCTGGGGCATCCTCTCTTCCACGTTCCTTTCACCTTTCCCTCTATGAGCTGCCTCTGGTGACAATCAGCTCGGATTATGTGTGCCAAATATTGTAGCTTTCTCTCCTTTATGTCATGTATTAGTGTTTTTTTTTCCTGTTTACTCTTTCCAGAACCTCTGCATTTGTGATTGTGTCCTTGTAGGAGGTTTTCAGCATTTTCCCGGCACGGTAAAACCACATTTCTAGCACTTCCAGCCTCTTTATGGAGTCTTGTTGTAAAGTCCAGGTTTCTGCCACATACACCAGTGTTGAGATGATGTAGCAACAGATGGGTAGCCTTAATTCGAGGTTTAACTTTCTAGCTGTGAGTACATCTATTCAGAAAATTTGTTTTGGCTATGCTAATTCTTTTTCAAGTCTCTGTTTCACAACGCCCATCCTGTGTGATTGTATGGCCAAGATAAAGGTATTTGTCCACTTGCTCGATGATACAACCATTGATTTGCACTCCAGTTTGAGGAATTAACCTGTCTCTGCAAATTCCTCAAACTGGAGTGAAAATCAACGGTTGTATCATCGAGTTTAAAGGGAATATACATCATTTGCTTTTGCTGTAATTTTCAGAAATGGATGGAATTGGGGCGTTGGAAATATATAGCAAATATAGTTACACTGGCTTTTTTGAGGTTTTGGGTTCGAAAATGCTATAAAAACCAAGAAAAACAATCATTTTCCTGTAGTCTGGTTCCCTGACTCCATACAAGAAGAAACAGAGCAGTTTACATACATTGGGGAATTGTAAGGTCAGGGAACCAGTCTAGCTGGCATGTACCCGTTCATAGGTGTGTAATCGATTGCAAACAAGTGCGATGGTCAATTGGGGCCAGTATTTGAAAAAAGCTAGTTTTTTCCAACGCTGATCGGCCGATCAGCGTTGGAAATTGACACAAAAATAGCACTTTTCTTGAAAATGACAGTATATACCAGGTGCCATGATTTTACAGGATGCTTTACACTGTCATTCACTAACAGTCCAGCAAGGTATTTCAAAATGATTTGGTAGTTTTATTTTTTGATGTTTGCAAATGTTGTATTTTCCCTTAAATGAAAATCATGATGTTTTTCTTGATGATGTCACAATGATGTCACTAAAATATTTACCCCTCTTTATCAAGACTGATCTTCAGTTTCAAGTTCATGCTATTATTAACCACTGTGAAGAAAAGTTGCGGTGAAATTTAATTATTGTCCCAATCACCAAAATCTGACACATTAATAGCCCGATCACCAAATAAAAGTTGCAATAAGTATGCAAAGGATGTGACTTCAGTACATGTAGTTGATTTTCCAGAGGAGAGGATGGGGTGTTGTAGTCAACTCATTTGAAGATCAAGGACTCTCTGAAACAGTGAATTCAAGATTTGCAATATTGAGTGATTGACATTTATTCAAAGAACGTAAAATAAAAATTAAGATTTTTTTCCATTAGGCCAAAAAAAAAAAATATTCCGTCTCTGGTCAGACCAAAGTTCCAGGAATTGACGCGGCGATGCGGCTTTTTTTTTTTTTTTTCAAGCTTGGATTGTACAGACAAGGTGGGGTACTATTTTGCTTTTTTGGTGTCCTCATGTACATTGGTGTCCTCCATAATTTGCCTTGGTGCTTTCGATCATTTGCCTTGGTGCAGTTTCCCATTCCTTAGAGCTCTTTGGTAAAACAAATTGGGGAGGTGCGAAAATAGAGGGCGCTGTTGGAGCTACTGCGGAACATTTTGGAAAAAAAAAAGATTGACGTGCATGATTAAAATCGACGCTCGCGCTGTCCAGAGACCGACTTATTTTTTTTTTGGCCTTATGTAAAGAATTTGCATTTGACTTTCAGGGTGGCGAGTGACACCAATCACTTCCTTGGATCCGCCCTCGGATTAAAAAAAAATCCATTCGTAAGATTGTAGTGTCTATATAACAGACAGCTCTAGCATGTAGCTCACTTACAATTCGTGCTTGTAACTTTCTTTTTAAAAGGTTGTTGACAAGAACAGAAATGGTAGAGTTTGGTAGCATCATCATGACTACAAATACGCCGTCTGCAACTGGAAGTGGTGGACATGACTTGGATGTTACTTACAAGATCGCTGGAAAAGTTGGAGGAATAGTTGGAGGGATTGGTGGCTTTCTGGTGGCTCTGTTGGCACTTTGTTTTGCAATATGTAAGTGATGTTCCTACTGGTATAATCTCAGGATTGAACGTTATTGGCTTTCCATTTTGTTTACTTGTTTTGTACTCCCCCCCCCCCCTTCTGAAGTGAATTCATGGCACGTCTGTCATCATTGAGGGGTTAGAGAAGAAATGGAAATCTTCCCACCGATTTGCCTTGAAACCAGATGCATGTAATCAATATCCACATAAGCTATTACAAAACATGATATGGACTCATGAAATTACAGGAAGAGAGCTCATGATTATGCGATTTAGTTCTCTCGTCTTCTGTACATTTACATATATCCAATGTTCTCCAACCTGTAAAAATACCTTGGTGCCCCGCCATGCTTTCTGAGGCACACACCATGCTTCAAAAACCTGACTTGCACAGCGAACCGCTCACAAAGAAGTCAAATAACGTCCTTTGTGCTGCTTGTTAGTATGTGTGCATGCTTGTAATAAATGTGTAGTGTCCGCTTTGGTGAATCGCTGCACAGTCCAATAATCCATGCACGCATTATCACACCGCTAACGGCTAAGGACGTCTTGGGAACCAAGACTACGACAGTGGTTGTGACCTTAACCATAATTGTTTCCCTGAAATATGAGATTCTTCCAAATAATGACATTTTTTTGGTGGTGTTATTGCAGATCAATACATTGGGAAACGCCGTAGTCAATGTGAAGGTAAAAGGATATTGGTATTTCGAAGCAAAAAAAATATATCAATGGAAATTGAAATATAAAGAAAAATGCGCGATTTTAATATTAAGAATAAAACGATTTCAGATCTCCGCCTAATTTTAATCACTATTTGCTGTTATAAGCTCCGTGCGCTAACTAAAGAGGGCGCGTTTTTACCTCTTTTGAGAGTTTTGTGGACAGGACACACAGCGTGCGCATACTGTACTGTACTGGTTCGTGCGCAAAGTACGCACGACTTCCTGAATGTGCAAAAGCTATAGCCACTGCGTCTTCGCGTGAGCGTTCAGGCGTCGTCGGCGCGTAAATACGTTCAAATTCAACTTGTGATGGTCTCCGAGACTAATCCCCGCCTCCAATAACTTTGGATACAATCGAAATACGCAGTGGATAGATCGGGAACCAGTCTAGGTCACCCCAACTCTACTTTTCTGGCCGTTGATGGGGTACACGAATTTCACTGACAAGAAAGGTGGTATCTTTTTGTTTTTGATGTTTTTTAAGCAGACTAGCAGATTTTTAATTAATTTTTTGACATGAGACAGAAGAATCGATACGAATCGGAATTAGTACTTTAATTTTTTTGTTGGCTGCTTGCTGCCCGCCAACACTGATGAGACAAGTTATATCTCTTTCTCTTTGATTATTTAATAAAACACATAAGTAAAGACATTTACTAGATTTGAACAGACAACCTCTGAATCACCGTTCCAGTGCTCAGTGCTGTGTATGTATGTTTGAGATACCTTCATTTGTAAATGTTTTTTTTTCACAGTACAGTATTATTTTTACTCTAAAGACAAATGCAGGTACATTAAATATTACTTCCGTTCAGAAACAAAAAGTTCAGAAACAAAAACACCCCCAAGTTCCAGGCAAGTTGTCATTATGCATAGTACTATACCTCATACATATTCATGATCGAGAGCTGAGTTCTCACTGGTCCATTCACCATTACGTGTCAGCCGCTAATTTTGCTGTTTACCAAGCGCATGTATACAAGGTTTCACAGACAGGTTAAATGCACATGCGTAGTAGGCAATCGCACTGGTTACCAGAAAAGAAAAGAAAATCAGATTAGTTAAGTAATTTTACTAGAGTGAGATCTGAATCACCGTTCCAGTGCTCTATTAACTGACCAATTCAGCCATAGTTTGCGTTCTTCTGATTTGTATGTGTCTTTTCACAGTACAGTGTTGTTTCTACTGTAAAGGCAAATGCAGATCGATACATTTAATATTATTTTCTTTTCAGAAACAAACTTGGATGATGACCACCCCCAAGTTCCAGGTAAGTTATAAAGCCTAAGACAGTACTTTTTAATATTCCGCTTTGCCAGATAAAACTTTTTATGAGTGGACGAATTGGAGACAAACTATGTATTACATTTTTCATAATGTCTACAAAAGAAAAACACTGCATGTGCACCAACTTATCACAGTGAGTCAGTGTTCTTCTCATTTTGATCTGAGACAGAGAGAATCAATAGAATCAGAAAGAGAACCGCATAAGTGTCCAAAGTTGCCGTGCTGAACATAAGCTTAAGCATTTTTACTCATAAACAAGCTGTTGAACGAAGTAAGAAACATGAAATGTTGTTTACCGTAAAAATTGATTCATGTCTGTTTGCAGATATCAGTGAGCCCGTTCTACGCAAGATCTCTGAGAGGCTTGGCTCCGAATGGCAGAAGCTGGCTACACATCTCGGTTTAAGCGCTGCAGAGATCGAGCGCATGGTGATGGATGACCCAGGCCAGACGGAGAACCAGATCTTCAACATGCTGGTCAAATGGAGGCGCAAACAGAGGGAAGTGTTATGCACAGCTCTGATGGAGATGGGCAAAATGGACATAGCCGAAGACATGATAGGTAGGTATTAAAATGAACCACATCAAATCGTTATTTTTATGACATTAGTAGCCTTGGTACATACCGTATGATTGCATGACGTGGCAAAACACCATTTTTTATGGCCATCAAAATAGCTTGGTACGTCCTTATTGAAGGAACCCAGGGAGAATTAACTGTATTGCGCTGCATGTACCCAGAGCTCCCAACATGTATGACTTTGGCGTCCTTTTTACTATTTTCCACCCATTTTACGCTTTTACGGTTTCATTCTTCAAATTTACGATTGTTGACGATGTTGTTTTAACAAAAATATTCATTGAAAAAAAGTGCCATTCCCGCCTTATATTCACATAAGGAGTTCGCTTATAAAGTCCGAAGGACGGGTAGCCAGTCTATGACAGTGACAATCTGCGCAGGCATGTTTTTCTGCACAGGCATGCTTTTCGTGAAACAACTCGACTTGCTTGGACGGTGCGGCATGCATGATGGGCGCCGTGCATGTACACATCGCGGCTTGGTTTGCGCCGGTCGAGTTGTCCCACGGGTCTAGTTGTCCCACGGTCTGGATGTATACGCCGGCCATCTTGGTTTAACGTTACCGTGGAATGCTTCGTTTCATGGAGTTGTTTTCCTGTTTAGTCAGTGGTAGTGTATGTTGGAAATATGTCTACCAAACAATCTAAAATACAGCCAAAGCCACGGCAGATATTTTTGAAGCATATGTTCAGATTATTTTGGTATTTGTACGCTGTGCAACGCAGATTTTTGTGTGAGTCACGCCAGTCGAAATGATCGCCAGAAGCACATCGCAATGGGTAAACATGATCAGTCAGCAGAAAATGTTAAAAACACACCGAAACTCACCATACCAGCTTCAGCTTGGACACATTTGTGTAAAACGCCGAGGTAACATTGGAAAAAATATTAAAACCTGACGCCACTTACGCAATTGTGTACAAAGTCTATGGAGAGTCAAGAACATTTGAAATTTTTCTCAGTCCCAGATTCATGTCTTATCATCATTTTTTGCAATGAATGACCTTCATTGAAATTATGAAGAAAAAATTGGCGTCAGGTTGCAACATTTTTTCCCAGATGTTCCCCAATAGCAAAATATTGCCAAACAGTATCAATGTGGACAAACAAAAACAAAATTCATTGTCAGCGTTAAACAAGAATAGAATGAAATGGGTTACACTCTGTGGGAATTACTTAGTAGTATCATACTGTTGTGACGGGATTTGACTGCCTTTTTGTTTAAATGGTGACGCGCCGAACAATACCGGCGCAATGAAAGTACTATTTCTGAAATCTGAATGTTGGGAGCTCTGTGTACCTATGGTATACCTGAAATTAATATATCACATTTGTGATGCCATCAAGCTAAACGAGTCGTTTGTCAACCCTGGTCATTTTTTTTTTACAGATTCGAAAAGATCACAATCGCAGCAATAATTTTGACCTGAACGGTTCATAGTTTTTTAGCCCCAAAAATTGTCATCACCCGACACATAACCTTGTGCATACACTCTTGAATTACTATACTCCCAAGGACAATGCTTTGTGTTTCCCTTTGTCCCTTTAATATAACACTCTTCCATAGACTAAGCACACGAACCTACTACAGAGGACCTTTTTGAACAAAAGACCCAACGTCCAAGGACTGAAAGAATCCTTTTTTCTCCCTTTGTGTGTCCGTCCTAGGGGGTAATGTAGAACAAGAACACCTGTGCACTTTAATAATAACCTTTTTCGTTCTAGTGACTGTCCCTATTGCCGAGTATCATATGTGTCTCAATATATGTTTTGTAGTTGGTCGCCATACTCTTTACAAAGGTGTTTCTTGTAAGGTTGAAATCTTTTTGCTTCCACAGTGATAGAGTTACTGGTTGGGATAGCATGAGATATGCAAGATTGTATAATTTTCATGTTTAGCCTGATTTTAAAGATCTCCTGTTGAGCCTGAACCTTTTTTTTTTTGGCAAAAAGTTTTGGTTTTTTTCATGATCAGTTATCTTTATTCATGTTTCCATTCTCGCTCAGATCTAATGTTTTATGTGATGTAAAGCTCAGACAAACTCTTTAAACCTCAACTCCCTGACCTCACAGCATCCAGCTATCTCATCACACAAACCAAATTACTCCCGGGTGGAGAACAAATGCAATGTATCTCACTCATTGACAATCTCTGATAAATAAAAATCATATCGGAGCAACCACCGCATTGTATTCTGAGCATATTACCACACACAAAGGGCCCCTTCAATGGCCAAAAATGTTACCAGCTATTTCACAAAGCAACCGCCCTGCAAGGAACTTCTTTTTTCTGCAACCAGTTTTAGTCAGTGATCAGAGTGTGCATGCGTCAGTTGGTAATGGAACGATTCTAGGGGAATCTCGGATTTCCCTTTGAAAAAAAATCACTCCACTCGAGTTTTCAAAACATTTTGAAAAAAGTTTTGTTATTTTATTTCAGATTATTTATATCATGGAACTTTGTTTTATGTATCAATTATTTCTGGTGTTTGAATGAAGGTCAGACTATAAACGGCGAGGATTGAAAATGTAAACACACAGTCGTAAGAACCATTGCAAGTTATTGACCATTGCGGGCATGCTATCTCTATACACAGTTAGTTCCATTTAATGTCAAAAAAGCTGGCAAGTTATTGTACCAAGCAACTGTCCCATAAACTGAACAGTAACTGGTACAATGCTTCCACCTATGAAGCATAATCGGAACACACTGGAGATCTCCTGGTAATAATCGTTTCTACCGTATATATTGATTCGTGTCTGTTAGCAGATTTCAGTGACCCTGTTCTACGCAAGATCTCTGAGAGGCTGGGCTCCGAATGGCAGAAGCTGGCTACACATCTCGGTTTAAGTGCTGCAGAGATCGACAACATCATGATGGATGACCCAGGCCAGACAGAGAACCAGATCTTAAACATGCTGGTCGAATGGAGGCGCAAAAAGAGGAAAGTGTTATGCACAGCTCTGGTGAAGATTGGTAGAACGAACATTGCCGAAGACTTTATAGGTAGGTATCAGAACTAACCACATCAATTTTTTTTGTCATGACATGGTACATATGACGAGGCAAAACATTGTGTTTTTTTATGGCCATCAAAATAGTAAGGTGTGCTTATTTTATAAGGATCTGTGGATAAACTGTGTTACTTTACCTATGGTGTACCTGAAATTAAAGGCGCCATGACATGAATTGTACTTGGGAACACAATTTGTGCACTGCTATTCCGCTATTTTTGTATGAAAACTGTTTAACATCCCTTTTGGTTACATTTGGTGAAAAGTGCACTTCTTTAAACATATAATGTTCCATGCTTTTCAGGACAACTTAGGGCGCTATTGCTGTGATGTCATTTCAGGAAGACACTGTTAAATTGATAGGTTTTCGTTCAAAATGTGAACCCATTACTTGGTCATTAAAAACATTTGTATGAAAACTTTGTTCATTGGCCTCCTGCCATGTACTGAAACATCAAAAAATCACCAAAGGAAACAAAATTGACAACAGCAAAATATCCCTAATTCTGGCAAATCATGGTGCTGAAATAGCTGTAACATTGAGGTTTTTGCCTCAATGCAATGACATTACACTTTTGCTCATTAATATGCAAATTTTAATAGCATAATGGGACACAAAGGCCCCTTTTCAAGGATGGCTTTAAAATAATTACATTACATGGGCCCTTTTATAATGAAACACTTTTAATAACATGAACTACTGTCTGTTTAAGGCTCACCACTCCTTTATTATTAACCAACTTTCGGTCCTAAGAACATTTGAAGGGGAAACACATCAATTTTGAATAATTTTGTCCAGAACAATTCATGTTTTAAAAATAGTCTTGACCCTACACCTGACCTTGTGCACACCTATTGCTGAGTGTCAGATGTGTCTCAATATTCTATAATTAGATGCTGTACTTATAACAAGGGTGTTTCTAGTAAGGTTGAAATCTTTTTGCTTCCTCAGTGATCGAGTTAATGGTTTGGATAGCATAAGATATATGCAAGATTGTATAATTTTCATGTTTAGCCCGATCTTAACGGTCATAATATACAAGAAATATACAAGTTTTGTTCAGAAACGTTCTTTACTGTATTAAATAATTTGTGTCTGTTTGCAGGTATCAGTGATCTTGATCTACGCATGATCTCTAACAAGCTTGGCTCTGAATGGCGGAAGCTGGCTACACATCTCGGTTTACGCGCGGCAACGATCGACCGCATCGTGATGGATGACCCAGGCCAAACCGAATACCAGATCTTCATCATGCTGGTCAAATGGTGGCGCCAACAATCCACTAGCACGGATCAGAGGGACGAGTTATGCACAGCTCTGATGAAGATCTGCAGAATGGACATAGCTGAAGACCTGATAGGTAGGTATCAGAATGAACCACATCAATCGTTATTGTCATGACATTAGTAGCCTTGGTACTAGCTCTGGCGATACTGATTTTTTTTGTAGCCATTTTTTCCGCCCAATATCGGCGATATGGCGATAAATCGTCAGCCAATTGAAAAATTTACATTTAAATAGCGATCTTCACAATACTCCAAATGTAAACGCACAGACAGAAAGGTAAGAAGTTTGGCTGACCAGGAACTTGCTGAAACAGATTTTTTTTTCCCCCCACGTATGGGCCTAGCGCAAATTATTCTGATTACGTTTTCAATTTCCCTGGAAGTCATCCGCATCGTTAGTCACCGCGAACCCGACATGTGCAAAAACAGCTCCCGATGTCCGTACACATGCGTGGACTTTTTCGGAGGTCCGGAATTTGGGAGGGTAGTAAAAAGTAATCAACGCACTGGAGACTCCACTCATTCAAAGATGGCGGCGCCCTGTTTCCGAGATAAATTTTTGAGGGGACAAATTAAAAAGCTATCTCCGCTTCAAATGCAGCTTGGTTCGTTTTGAATAGTAAAGTTTATTGGTCGCATAATTCTTTCTCCATGCGTTTCAATGACCTGCGGCTGAATTCACCCTCACCGTACGTCCCAGCGGCACTTTGCACGGCCTGGATTTGGAATGGGCTTGCCCGTGATCGTAGCGATCCCCGCCCGCCGGCCACGTGGTGATGGTGTATCCCGCCTAGCCCGGCCGGCCACACCGCACCCTGCTGCGCCTGTACAATTATTGGTTAAACCCTCTCACGTGACTGATTCCTCACCAAATTATCACGCAAGGGCAATACTATACCAATATAATGAGTCCGTATTTCACAAGTGCTAAATTCACCTACACCTGTCTCTAAGCAGGCTAAAATAAATAGGCTTCCTTCCTTCGTGAAAAAGCTTATGAGTGAGCTTACCCACGTTTGATCGCATCACATGTTTGCAATCTTGGCCAACTTAGGCCAGGTAAAAAAAAAAACAGTTCGGCGTCCGGGTTTGTGAAAAAAAAAGAGGCAGTGCATTTATTTTCAAGATGGCCGTCATTCTTTTCTAAATTTCCGAAAATTTGGTTTTTACAATGTTCAAATACACAAAAATTAAGTAGACATAATGGACAAGACTTATAGTTTTCTAGCACGGTTTTACAAGAATGAAAAAAAAAACACTGCTGCGCCGGCATTCTTGTCCACGTGGCCTGCATGCCGCTACGAACTCACGAAAAAAACGAAAAAAAAAAAAATATTGACGTAACATTTGATTTGTCTATGCGAATCAGCTTTTCTATCATCTTATATGAATTTTTACAGCCACTGGAAGCGGCATACAGCTCCCAAAAAATTGAGGCTTTTGTGTCAAATCCTTTAAAAAAATTAGAAAACTTTCAGAACCATCTTTCAAAAATTTGTCTCTGTTATTATTTTGTCGTTCCCTGTCAAAACCAATACAGTCCTAGATCCTTCACTTACGTTGTTCCAAAACAACCAACAAGCGATGATGAATCGTTGCTTAGTTTCGAAAAACAAACTCTAGGATTAAATACCGGTATCGGAAATATCAAATGCAAAAGTCCACATGCATATGAGGTGAGCAATCATTGCTATAGAAATATTTCATGCCTAAAAACGTAACAGTTGTGAACAAAACACCAGACGAGTGTTGGGTGCACATGTACTGTGGAGCCGTCACGTGACTTGAGCAAGCTATTTGTCATCTTGGGGAAATCTCTTGTCATGCTTGTACTTGTAGCTGAGCACGTGCTGACTGAAGGGCCGAACTGTCATTTGATTGGCAAGTTGGTTGTATTTTCCTCTATCCGCGGCCCAATCAAGTGATGTTTTTTGTGCGGGATATAGTGGGATCCAACCTGGCGGTTAATCCTTATTGTCGGTTATAAGTTAATCCTTATGGATAAGGTTGTTGAATATGGAAAACATAAATTATGACGGATAATTGAGATATAAAAGACAGCTCATTTATTGAACATTCACAACTTATTCATTATTTACGCCCTATACTATAGACGCAAAACAGCAGTGAACTTTGTGGGCTTACGTTTATGAACACATTAGTATATTAGGCCAAAAAAAAAAATAAGTTGGTCTCTGGTCAGCGTGCGCGTCGATTTTAATCATGCGCGTCGATCTTTTTTTTTTCAAAATGTTCCGCGGTAGCTCCAACAGCGCCCTCTATTTCCGCACCTCCTCAATTTTTTTTACCAAAGAGCACCAAGGAATGGGAAATTGCACCAAGGCAAATGATCGAAAGCACCAAGGCAAATTATGGAGGACACCAATGTACTTGAGGACACCAAAACAGCAAAATAGTACCTACCTTGTCTGTACAATCCAAGCTTGAAGAAGAAGAAAAAAAAAAAAAAAAAAAAAGCCGCGTGGCCGCGTCCTTCCGGAACTTTGGTCTGACCAGAGACCGCATATTTTTTTTTTGGGGGGGGGGCCTTATGTACATCGATCAAAAGACGTGTTCAAACATGAATGGCTGTGCTGGAGTCTGCCGACGTCGCACGTTCTCAAAATTCCCTGGTGTTAAGCGGTCGTTATCAAAATGATGTATATTGTGCAAACGGGACCAGCAAGTTTTTAGTCCGTTCTTGACTGTATGAGCTGCTCGGCGGACTGCAAATTTTTTTTATCCCAAACGACAACCGCATATGGGTGTACGCTATGGCGTTTTGGACTTTGTTTTTCTAAAAACATGAGAAGAAAATATAAAATAAGAAGAAAAAATGGTCTCCAACATTATGAAATTGGGACTTTATTTCCCTTTAATAAAAAATCCTCTAAAGTCTCAGATTAGAAAGGAAAAAAATGTCGGGGACAAAACCGTAATTCCAACCTTATATCGACTGAGCTGCTACACTGCTCACCAAATCACATGAAATATAATGATTATATACCTGCGCACGTATTATGAAAGTATCGTAGAGGGCGCTAAACAACCATGTATGCGGATGTAGTTTGGGAAAGCCAGCGAGCGGCTAGAATATTTTCGCCGTTTTTTATCCTGCAGATTTGGTTTTGATTTACGTACGTATAGCAGCAACATGAGGTAAAAGTTTTAAACTCTCGACAGTAATCAGTAAAGTTGTGGGGGAAAAAACTAAAGTATCGTCAATATCTTTTAAAAAAATGCGAGTTGGAAAAAAAATTCGGCGATTGAAAATTGATGTCGCCGATATCGCGATATTCCGATTTTTATCACAACGTATGCGATTCCGATTTTTAGCTGTTCCCAATTTCAATTGGGAACAGCTATTGTTTTCGTTAAAGTTTTTTTTCTTCCTTTTTTTTTTTAGCTGTTTCGGTGTTCACACAGAAACAGCTCTTGTTTCTGTTATTTTTTTTTTTCTCTTTTGTTTTTCAGACTTTTTTCTCATAGGATAACACGTGTTTTCGTTCTACAAGTCACTTTTGGCTTTTTTTCAAATCCCATCGACTTCAAACCTGGCACACACTTAGACCACCATCTGAAGATGTGCGCCGAAACTTTTCGTCATGCTGACGTCATCACGTGATTTATTATAGATTTTTGAATATTTAATTTTTCCCATAGACTTTGTACACAGAAATTTAAAAAAAAATGTCAATTTTCAGAGGGCATTTTCGACACTTTGCCAGTAATTCATTTACACCAATCTTTGTCCAAGCAATGACCCTAATTCAAACATCATTGTGTAACGATGACGTCATGATGACGTCATCCGGTGTTTATTTATGGGCAATTAAATTGTGACACATTTAAAAATGCATAAGAAATCAATCGTACCCGTCCGCAGCATTCTGTTGCCGGCAAGTGGTAGAGTACGTTGAGGTCTTTATTTCATTCAGTGTGCGTAAAATCACGTGACCCTTGCTTCCGGTCGAAAAAGGCCCAAACCGGAAGTGGCTTATTATTTAAAAGTGGTAATAGATATGATCTTGCTTTTAACGGTGTTAGTCTCTTGGCTGATAGAATTCTTCAAATCATCTACCGATGACGTCATGCAATCTTCGAGCGCCCTCTAGCGACAGGTTGAATATTTTCAAAAATGTATTTTGAATAGATGTCTGTGGCGAAGTTTGTCGGAATCGCCTAAATATTGGTGTATATGATGACCTTGACCCACTTAAGACGTGTGCAAAGTTTAAGGTGTATGACCTCATCAGACCGGAAGTTATAATGAAAAGACCCTTTTTCCTTAAAAAATTCCTGAAAAATCAACCATGGCAGTTTTTATATTAGTTTTTACTTTAATTGTCTATTTAAGGGTAGGTCTAAAATATTTCAAAGCTTCAAGGCAATAAGCAAACTCGGACATGCCCTGCGCACGCTTAAAACTTTAGGTTGACAATAACTCTGCTTTAAAACATGCACAGTCCACAATGTACATGTACATGCACGTACGTTGTACATATGGTATGTCAGTCAGCCCGCGCGCAGCGCACGTGTAGCTGAGGTCAATCCTGTCCACAGTGACCGTTTTAGCCGATTTCCGGCTAACTTTGACAGATTTCATGTTCATGCATAGTCAGGGACGTAGGATAGACACTTTTTGTATAGAATACGCATGTACATGTTCATTCGACCTGGATGAAACTCCTTTTACTCCTTAATACGGCAGTCATTAATAAAACGGTCGAAACAGCTCAGTGTTTGTCCACAAACACATTTCTAGTTTTTCTTTTTTTTTCTTTTTCCACTTTTCCCCATAGGTTTTGTACACGTTTTTATTCTACAAGCCACTTTGGCAATTATTTTAAATCCGATCAACTTTAAACTCAGCATAGTTATTAATCATCATATGAGAATGTGTGCCGAAACTTTTCGTCATGCTGACGTCATCACGTGATTTATTATGGAATTTTGAATATTTAATTTTTCCCATAGACTTTGTACATAGAATTTTTTTTAAAAATGTCAATTTTCAAAGGGCATTTTCGACTCTTTGCCAGTAATTCATTTACACCAATCTTTGTCCAAGCAAAGACCCTAATTCAAACAACATTGTGTAATGATGACGTCATGATGACGTCATCCGGTGTTTATTTATAGGCAATTGAATAGTAACACTTTTAATATTTAAAAATGCATAAGAAATCAACCGTACACGTCCGCAGCATTCTGTTGCCGGCAAGTGGTAGAGTAGGTTCAGGTCTTTATTTCATTCAGTGTGCGTGAAATCACGTGACCCTTGCTTCCGGTCGAAAAAGGCCAAAACCGGAAGTGGCTTATTATTTAAAAATGGTAATAGATATGAACTTGCTTTCAACGGTGTTAGTCTCTTGGCTGATAGTATTCTTCAAATCATTTACCGATGACGTCATGCAATTTTCGAGCGCCCTCTAGCGACAGGTTGAAAATTTTTAAAAATGTATTTTGAATAGATGTCTGTGGCGAAGTTTGTCGGAATCAACTAAATATTTGTGTATATGATGACCTTGACCCACTTAAGACTTGTGCGAAGTTTAAGGTGTATGGCGTCATCAGACAGGAAGTTATAATGAAAAGACCCTTTTTCCTTAGAAAATTCCTGAAAAATCAACCATGGCCGTTTTTATATTAGTTTTTACTTTAATTGTCTATTGAAGGGTAGGTCTAAAACATTTGAAAGCTCTGAGGCAATAAGCAAACTCGGACATGCCCTGCGCACGCTTAAAACTTCGGGTTGACAATACCTCTGCTTTGAAACATGCACAGGACGTCCACAATGTACAGTACATGTACATGTACATGCACGTACGTTGTACATATCGTATGTCAGTCAGCCCGCGCACAGCGCACGTGTTGCTTAGGTCAAATCCTGTCCACAGTGACCGTTTTAGCCGATTTCCGGCTAACTTTGACAGATTTTATGTTCATGCATAGTCAGGGACGTATTATTGATAAAAACAAATCATAATGCGGATAAGCCCTATCTTCTGTTGCAAACAGACATAGATTTCTACTTTTTGTCTATGGGTCCAACAGATAATCAATATTGGGAACAGCTCTGTGGTTGTTCACAACCACAATTTCTAGTTTTGTTTTGAAAATGGTATCGCGACGATTGTCGTCGTATCGTCCAGCACTGCTTGGTACAAATAATTGCATGATGAAGCTAAACACCTTTTTTCTGGCCTTAATACTGAAGTTTTACTCAGGGGCGGCGGAACCAGGGGCTGGGGGGCACTTGCCCCCCCCTCCCCCAGATTTACCCAAGTGCCCCTTTTGCGGACATAAATGTGCCCCCTTGATCATTAATGTGCCCCCTCGAGATGAAAAAACTTGCCCTAAAAGTTTCTGAAAATTTGTTTCAAGTAACCATTTCCCAAAATGGTATTTTTGATATGAACGATGAATATGAACACCAAGCCCCAAAACCCTTACAATGTTCCCTGAAAATGGGCACATAATGTGTAGTTTGCATAATGGCCGGTTTTGAAGAGAGCCCTCTATTTTGGAAGATGGTACCAGCTTTGATTTTACGGAGGCCAAGTGTCTGTTGAAAAATACGTGTCGACCTTTCAGCACGGATGTGCAAAAAAAAAAATGCTGAGCAAGTGCCCCTTTTTGGTGATGCCCCCCCCCCCCCCAGTTTGAAAACCATTCCGCCGCTGCTGGTTTTACTGTGGAATCGAGTTTCTTAATTTAACTCTTTTCATGTTTGGTTTAGTTTCTCTGCGTGCATGGCCCCACTTTAGGAGGTGTGGAGAAAGGTAACAGAACATGTCTGAATGTCTGAATGCATCCAGGAATTTCCTTCAGGGTGTAGTCTTTTATAATCAACCAAAACCCAACCGCTTATTAATCCCCAGTAAATTCCTGGGAATAATTAAGGATGCATTCTGACATTCAGACATGTTCTGTTACATGTACCGGTACCTTTCTCAACACCTCCTAAAATGGGGCAATGTACGCAGAGAAAACAAAACCAAACATGAAGAGAGCTAAATTAAACTACAAAGCACTGTACAAATCAAGCCAGGCCAAATTGGGGAAGGTCCTAGCTCTAAAATCCTGTTGGCACCAAGGTTGTCAATCACTTCTTAAACGTAGGGGTTGTTACATACACGTGTATCTTGATCAGAACTAATGCGAGTGCGAAGCCTATTCTAGATGCTCTGTGGTGCGATCTGAGGTACTTTCTAACCACTTTAACCAGTTAATAAAAGCAATAGATCATCATTTAAACATTTTTGAGTGCCATTGAATCAGAGATATAGAATCAAATATTGGCCACATTCTTTTTTATTCGATGACGAAAATAGTTTTTTTGGGGGGAATGACATTTCCCCCTGTCCCCCACCGATCGACCCCATGGTTGGCATCGTACTTCAGAATGACAGACTTTACACGTAAATTTTATAAGTAGGGGCTACATGTATGCCTACATGCTGTACAGCATCAGTTGGTGAAATTGAACATTCTGAGAGAGACCCTAAAACTTTTTATAAACTTTTCTCTGCGTGTGGGTGTGTGTATGGGGGTAGACCTATTTATGTGTTTTATGATGCGTGCACTGCGGTATTTTTTCGTAGGCCCCAAAATTTTTTGTAGGCCCTATGCACAGTGCCTACTGTGCCTGTTGGATAATAAGATATCGGATAATGTTCGGCGTTGTTGAATTACAGCTTGAAAGAATTGTAATAGATCATGTTTATCACTTCTCAATTGTGTGATTTGTTGGGGGAATCTTTCAAATTCAATCACGTGATATGTTCACACATGAGCATAAAGGTAAATGACCTTAATAACACGTAAAAAGGAACAATTGCACCTATTGCCCTGTCCCCACAATGGATGATCAGAACAATAGCTGGCACAATGCTTTCCCCGTTGAAGGGGGCCTCTGAGTGTACAGAGATAGAATACAATAGTTTAAACCACATGCGGTGGTCAAAGATTATATTTTACTTATTCACTGCTCAACAAGAAAGGTGTATCTCTTTGTGTTTTTAATGTTTTAGAAAAGTAAGTTTAATTAAAAAAAAATCAGTGAAGAAAGTTTGCTCATGTGACCTTCGAAAAACCGTTCCAGGGCTCTATTAACTGAATTATTAAACCCTATGTTGTCAGTACCTCTTTCCACAGTGCATTGTTATTCACACTGTAAATGCAAATGCATGTAAAGCTCATATTATTTTATTTCAGGAAGAAAATTGGATGATGAGCCTCCCCGAGTTTTAGGTGAGTTAAACAGCCTATTTTCGGACAATGTATCAATGTATTTGTTCATAGTTTCAAGATCATAATTGTCTTGTCTCACTTGGAGGCAATCATTCCAGCTTGCCAGTGAAAAATGTTTTTAAAGCAGACAGGGGCTGGATTGGAGACTAAGCTGTATTACTTTCTTTCATAATTTTAGAAGAGACGCCTCCACCAGCAGTTGAAGACATTCCTGTTAACCATCCCGGTGAGTCAGCATATTTCTAATTTTGATCGGAGACATAGGAATCAATAAGTATCAAAATGAGTATTGTTTTTTTTTTTGGCTGCTTGCTTCGAGGCGACACTGACGAGAAATGTTGTATCGCTTTATTGTCTTTGATTTTTTTTTAAAGCAGAATATTAAAGTAATTTACTAGAGTGAGATTTGAACAGACAACCTCTGAATCACCGTTCCAGTGCTCTATTAAATGACCTATTGAGCCATATAGTTGTCCTCTCCTTATTTGTAAATACCTTATTTCACAGTGCAGTGATAGTTATTTACACTGTAAACAAAAATACATGTTTCCCATTTAATTCAAACAAATTATCCGTGGACCATTTGCGGCAATCTAAAAAGTATCCTTCCAAATTATTGTTAAAAAGCTTACTTGGTTTAAAGATAGTAATGACACTAAACTCCTTGTGAATTATTCCTTCTGACATTCTGAAGAAAGTAACAAACAACAGAAAAAGCAGAAAGGAACTACATCATCTGCGGGACAGATGCTGAGTCAGGAAGATGTTGGTCATCGTGACAAATCTCAACCTGATGCCCAAGATGGAGGGGCTAAAGAACAGAGCAAGTCGGAAGGGACTAAATCATCTGAAAGACAGGAACAGGAAGATGTTGGTCATCGAGACATACCTCACCCAGAGGATCAAGAAGGATGGGCTAAAGAACAGAAGAAGCCGAAAAGGACTACATCATCTGAAGGACAGAGACCAGGACAGGAGGAAGTTGGTCATCAAGACAAACCTCAATTAGAGGTTCAAGAGGAAAGGGCTAAAGAAGCGAGCATGCATAAAGGCACTACATCATCTGAGGGACAGAGACAAAACCAGCAAGAGGCATGCGGAACATATCCGAACGTTCAGAAAGAGACGATGCAATCATCCGAGGAGTATGGACTGAAAGGGTCAACATACAAAAAATCAGGTCATGGGCAAGTGGGTGTTACACCAAGTAATCAGTCAGAGATACAAGAGACAGTGGTAAGAGAAATGACATCACAAGACCAACAGCTAATGCAGGGTCCAAAGTCAGTTCAAGACATCGTACCTGTAGGACAAACCTCATCCCGATCACCTGCTGTACTCGGACATGGACCTGGGCAACTGGTTTCCGTTGATTCCATGAGTGTCAGTGGCAAAAATTGTCCTGTCTTCTTGGGAGCGGTTAACCAACCGACTTTTACCTTGAACGTTCAAAGCTTGAAGGTTACAGGAAAAAGTTCAGGTATGTTCCAAATATCAATGTGTCATTTCTCTCTCACTCACTTCCTTCCTAGTCTTTTATTCTTTCTCGCTTTTATCGTACATCAACGGGAAAGCCAGATACTCAGTAGCCAATCACTCAATAGCGAGATATGTGTAAAAACGTGTATCTCCTTAATTTTATAAAACGACCAGATATCCAAATTGTCAAACAGTGACAGTGAAAAGAGTAAAATATATGGAACTATACATACTAGCAATGGATAAAATTGAAAAAAAAAACCAGTGTGTTAGATAAGTATAAGAACAAATTTTTGTTTATGTAAACGCACTTAGACCTGCTTCTTGATTTGATTTTGAGGCCTGTTGGTGTTTCTGGCTCGGGTCAAAACCACATTCTGAACCTTCAGTCTATAGATTACAAGCTCAGCTTAAACTGAGGCTGATGAAAAATCAGAATGCAGTTTAGACACCTCAAAATGAACATGCAATTCATTGCCGAGTGGGCTGACGTCATATATTGAAGTTAGCCCAGTCGGAAAGATTCGTGAATTAATTTTGAGTTTTCATAAACTGCACTCTGATTCTTATCTTTTTTTCCCTCTACAGCCAAAAACAATGTCTCAAAAAATGTGTCCGAGCAATTAAAATGACGAAATTGGCGCGGCCTCAGCCATAATTTATACAAATTTGGTTTAATCCGTGCATAATGAAAAAGAGAAACAGATTTGAAGCGGTCCCCTGGTTTATGCCTACTAATATTATAGAGAGTATTAACTAGCATACGTGTATATAGAAGTCCAAGTGTCTTTCCCATGGGAAGTAGGGATGCTAGGAAGCACAACTCGCTCCACCTTTACACAAAGAGTACATGGCCTTTGCTATATCAAACTACTTTTGATAATGAAAAAGTGTCACCTGATATCCCCCCCCCCCCCCAGGGTTTCCAAAAATGTCAATAGAAACAGGAGTAACAAGGCAGGGTGGCGAGGACCGTCGCTTGACTGATGCTCTCGGGATAGCCAGGACTGCCCTACATGAAATCTCAGCTATCCTGAACTCATGTGACGGAGAGCTTGAGAAAGTAATATCTGGGTCTGTGACATTTGTTGTTCGCTTCAAGAGTCGGGAGGGTCTGAACAAACTCTGGAGTATGTACACCACTGGAGAACTCGCCAAGAAACTGACAGAGATTCTCATCTCGGATGAACTGACAACTGAAGATAAGAGTGACTTGGCTATCCAGGCAACTATACCAGAAAGCGACTACGATCGGGCCTGCAAATTCTTTGACGAATTGGAAAAGGACCAGCAGAAAGGTAGCCAAATGCTGTAAAATTAAAACTGCAATCTGACTCCTTTTCTAAATTATGTTTAAAAATAACTCTTTCATTGTCTGAAATACTTTTTTAACAGATGAAGAGGACTCAAGCAGCATGGAAGAGGTACAGCATACACAACTTGGAGAAAGCAGCACAGCAACAACGGCTTACAGTAGCGATCCAACCGAATACGCTGAAGACAGATGTGAAGAGAAGGTGAAGACATCGTTTATGACAACAGGTATAGATAATCACAAATGGATGAATGGTTAGATAGTGGCAAAATATAACATTAGTTAACGCTGGCGATGAGACAGAGGAAAGGGTAATATATGAATGTATATTCCTTGAAAACACGGGAGGATGATCCCATGAAATTGTTGAGCAACAATCCGTTCTGTTTGGAAAACATTGCATATGGTTGGACATTTAGCTCCAATCTACGCTAAAATCTGATCTGAGGCACAATCAGTAGGATCAGAAGGAAACTTTATTAGGTTTTTTTTCACAGAAGCTTCCTTTGCCATATTAATTGATACGTGTCTGTTTGCAGGTATCAGTGACCCTGATCTATACAAGATCTCTGTGATGTTTGGCTCTGAATGGCAGAAGCTGGCTACACATCTCGGTTTAAGCGCTGCTGAGATCGACCGCATCGTGGAGGATGACCCAGGTCAGACAGAGAACCAGATCTTCAACATGCTGGTCAAATGGAAGAGAAAACAGGGGGAGGTGTTGTACAAAGTGCTGATGAAAATGGGGAGAACGGACATTGTCGAAGAGCTGATAGGTAGGTATCATTAGACATTAGTAGCTTTGGTACATATGATTGAATGACAAAGCAAAACACTTTTTTTCTGGCCGTTAAAATAGCTATGTTTAATCTACTTTACATATGGTATTCAAGAAATCACATGAAACATTTGCTAACATGAATTAACTATTTAAGGTGCATGATTCTTGTATTATTAACTAAAATTTGGTCCTAAGAAAGTTTGAAAGGGGCAAACAAGCAATCGCCTTAAAACTAATTTGCATTTTTTTAAAATATTCATTGTGGACAATGGTATCACCATACAGTTGTGTGTGTGCAGTCAACCGTGGCCCACGTTTGTGCAAAACTAGTTTATGAGACAGAAGCTGGCAAACATTTCCATATTATGCTTCAAATCCAGGCATATTTTCACAAAAACCAATGCAAAGTATGTTACTCAATGAGACAATGACATTTTCTCTGATAAATAAAAATTCAAATCGAAAGAACCATTGCAACATAAGGTATAGGCCATTTCGAGCACACTACATCAATACAAAGGGAGCCGCATTTAACCCCTTGCACGGGTTATAACGGGGACATTCCTCCACACATAGAGCAAGTGGCCCTCATGACTGCACAGCCTTTGTGTGGTAGCGGGACTGCACAAAAGCAGCAGCTGTGGAACTACCCACTAGCCGTGTGCCACGGCATACCACAGCTGGCAACTGCATTCCAATGAGGATTAGCGGCCGCGGCCATGACCGCTTCCCAAGCTCATGGGGTTAATGGCGAATATGCTGTACTAGTTTAAATCGTACCAAGCAATTGGCCTGTTATCTATATAAGAATGTGTTATTATCTGAAACAGTAACATCAATGCTTTGACCTTTGAAGTGTAATCGGAACATAGTAAAGATCTTCTTGTAATAGTTATTGTTACCCCATTAATTGATTCATGTCTCTTTGTAGGTTTCAGTGACCTTATTCTACACAAGATCTCTGGTATGCTTGGCTCTGAATGGCGGAAGCTGGCTACACATCTCGGTTTCAGCACTGCAGAGATCAACCGCATTGTGGAGGATGACCCAGGCCAGACACAGAACCAGATCTTCAACATGCTGGTCAAATGGAGGCGCCAACAATCCACTAGCACGGATCAGAGGGACGTGTTCTTCACAGCTCTGATGCAGATCAAGAGAACAAATACTGTCGAAAACCTAATAGGTAGGTATCAGAATGAACCACTTTCATTGTTTTTTTTTTTCATGACATTAGCAGCCTTGGTACATATGATTGAATGACGAAGCAAAACACCTTTTCTTTTGGCTGTTAAAATAGCTTGCCGACCAGCGTTGGAAAAAAACTGGCCTTTAAGATAAGTTTGCAGTAGCACCATGTGAATAAATCTCTTTTCTGAGTATGTGTGGTTCTGAAAAGAACTCATCCAAGACCTCACCCTCCAGCCGGACGACATCATGGTCAGCTTTGATGTCGTCTCCTTCTTCATCAGCATACCCACCTCAGACGCCTGCACCATCGCCAAGGACAGACTTCAAGCAGACACCACTCTCCAAGACCGCACCGACCTCACCCCTGACCAGCTTCAAGATCTGCTCATCACATGTGTCAACTCATCCAGCTTCAGATGGCGGGACAAATTCTTCGAACAGTCGGCTGTAACCTCAATGGGATCTCCTATATCCCCGGTTCTGGCTGACTTAATCATGGAAGAATTTGAACAGACCGCCATCGCAACAGCAGATCACCAACCCAAGGTTTGGCTCCGGTACGTGGACGACACCTTTGTCATCTGGCAACACGGGCAAGGCAACCTCCAGCTCTTCTTGGAACACTTCAAAAAGCTTCACAGCAGCATCCAGTTCACCATGGAACAAGAAAGAGATGGTATCGTTTCGGTTTCCAGTAACACCATGTGAGCTATGTGTTCTTTAAGCCTGGTAGTGAGGTCTCTGCCAGTCTCGCCAATGTACACTTTGCCACATGAGCAAGGAATTCGGTAAACTCCTGCTTGGCTTCTCGGGTTGTGCTTGTCTTTGTGGGTGTACGATTTCGTTTCGAGTTTATTGCGAGTTCAGTAGTAGACCTTAATATTGGCTTCACGGAGGATTTGCTGGATCTTGTGTGATGCATGGCCAATATACGGAAGGACTGCAACCGGCATATCGGGTGTGTTCAGGGTCTGAGACATGCTCGAATCCGGTGCGATGCTGTGATTCTTAGGTCTGTACCCATTGTCTCTTAGCACTTTATTGAGGTGCTTCAGTTCGGATTGTAGGTGTTCATCATCACTGATGATATGTGCCCTTCGAAGTAGGGTGCGGTTCACCGAGGTTTTTACTGATGGTGGGTGGAATGAACGAGCATTGAGGTATCGGTCTGTATGTGTAGGTTTCCTGTACACAGAGTGTCCAAGTGAACCATCGGCCCGTTTGGAAATTAGTACATCAAGGAAAGGCAATGAATCGGATGTCTCAGTTTCCATGGTGAATTGTATACTCGGGTGTTGTTGGTTGAGATGGCGGAGGAAACCATCGAGCTTGTCCGGGCCATGCGGCCATATGATGAATGTATCATCTACGTATCGAAGCCATAACTTAGGATGGAATTGAGTTGTTGCCAAAGTTTTTTGCTCGAAATCTTCCATGAAGATGTTAGCCAGGACTGGGGAAATTGGGGACCCCATAGGAGTGCCTGAAGCCTGTTGGTAGTAGTTGTCTCTCCATTGGAAGTACGTAGACTTTACGCAAGTCAGGAGAAGATCATAGATTTGATCTGGCATTAAGCTGGTTCTTTCCGTGAGTGTGCCATCTTGTTCGAGTATCGACTTGGTTACGAGGCATGCTTCTTCAGTCGGTACATTAGTGAATAAAGATTTGACATCAAAACTCACTAGCATGTCTGCGGATTGTAATTTAATTCCCTTTATGGTGTTGATGAACCCTGCTGAATTGGGTACATGGTGAGGCGTTTTTCCCACGAGTGGGTGTAGGAGCTTTGTTAAGTGTTGTGCGAGGTTGTAGGTTGGGGAACCTCTTGACGACACAATAGGTCGGAGCGGTTTGTCTGGTTTGTGGATCTTCGGTTGGCCAAAGAATCTTGGGCATTTCGAGCTGGATGGACGAAGATGCCTGTATAATGGAGTCGGTAAGGCCTTAAAAAAAAAAAAAGTTATGTTGGCGTAACGGGCCAGAAAAAATAGGCTAGGTAGGTCGGGTTTTTTTTTTTTTTTTTTTTTTTATAATCCCAGCAACGAAAATGACATTAAGCCGGTAGTAGTACACGATAACAAAAGAAAACAAGGCTCATCATCAACCTTTCTAAAGGTACATATCAAAAAGCGGAATCCAAAATCAGACAAAATGTTAGCCGTTTCATCTGCATCGACATGATCGACATCTTTATATGGACCCGATTCTTTCTTTGAAGTTTGTATTTTTAGCACGGTGTAACCCGCTTTTACACCATCGGCACAGCTCTGGGCGATTACCTATACCCCCAGTTCTAGACTCAAATTTATCCGCATTAAACGGTCGAAAATGACCGAAGATCCCCATTTGCATTTGATGGAAACCTGTACGCTTCGGTATAGGGCGCCATGATGCGCGTAACACCGGGCCGAGGGCCGGCCGGGTCGCGTCGGCCGCTGGGGTTGCAGAATAGTTTACCATTTTTAGAATAAATATATATCAATTGTTATCGTGTAAAATAGTGGAAAATTAATTAAAATAATTTATATTATAATGAACTATTTTTTTAACATGGAATAAATAGCGAAGTATTTTCAATAGTGTATGTAGCAGTTCGCGCCGTGTAACAGTCTAGGACGAGGCTATACATGTACTGTACACGTACGTAAATGTGCATCTATCATGCATGCATGGTGCATCGATCTCCGCACGCGCACTGCCTGTACGTAGGCCTGCGCGATCTTCTGCATGTTCGTTGTGTCATGGAGAGGAAGGTGCAAAACCGTTGTGCACTCCAAAGTTCCACGCGCGCTATCGTCATACAATTGAGGAGAAACGGTCAGAAATGGCTTCAAAACGTATTTAAAATTCATTTCTATAGATTTTAATTATATTTCTTCCCTTCCAAAAAAAAAATATCCAGGGTCGGCCGCATTTTTAGGGTCGGTCGGGTTACGCCAACATAACCCTTTTTTTTTTTAGGCCTAAGGCTGAGCTACGATTTAAGGAGAGTAGTTTGGCGGCAACTTTCCTTTCGACTGCTGGAATGGGATTTTTCTTGAGGCAGGTATAGGTATCTGTGTTGAGGATATCCTGAACCTTATGGTCATACTCCGTGCGGTCCATTATGACAGTTGCATTACCCTTGTCTGCCTTTAGGATGTGTATCGAAGAATCATTGCGGAGGCTGTTGATAGCCTGGTGTTCAAGTCTTGTTATATTGTTACGTGAGGCTCTGTCCATTCTCTTCTTGCCAAAAGAAATGAGGCGTTGGAATTTTCGGATCTGTTTCCTTTGGGTGGCATGAAAAGTGTGGGATACAGATTTATCCCTGCTTCTCTTTATTTCTTGATCGGTTCGGTATAGGCAACATCGGGTGGAGGCAATTTGTGATCGAAGTAGGGCTTTATTGGCAGTGTGTATGATTCGAGCAGAATTGTTTTCTTCGATAGGGTCTCGTAGGCGGAGTACTCCTTGGGACTACGTTCGCATCTCTACATCTCTTCAGAAATGTCAGGTTATTGATCAGTTTGCAACGTCTTGTACAAGAGCGTTGGTATAACTTGACAAGGTTTTTCGTGCGCTCCCCGTAGAGCATACTGAAATAAGATGTGAGGCTTTGCATGGTGGGGTATCGGTATCGTTTCGGTTTGTGGTAACACCATGTGGTAATAACTACTGCTTAGAAGATATTAGTTCTGAGAAGAACTTGTCCTGCTTATTATCAACTTTGCTAAGTGGTTTTTGTTCTGTTTAGAACAGTCCTGCTGTAAGTTCTAAAAGAACTTGTCTTTGGTCTCAACGTTTCGACTAGCCTGCTCTAGTCATCGTCAGGAGACTGAAGATAGTTGGAGATGCTACTCCTTAAGTAAGAAAGAGATGGCAACATCGCATTTCTTGACGTTGAGGTGTCCAGAAAGCCAGACGGAAGTCTTGCTGGCAGTGTCTACCGCAAGCCCACCCACACGGACAGATACCTGCACAGCAACTCTTTCCACCACCCAAGAATCAAGTCCTCCTTCAACCGAACCTTCGTCCGCAGAGCGTACAACGTCTGCGACGATGAACACGTACCTCAAGAACTTCATCACAGCACTGCAATGCAACGGATACCAGCCCAGCCAAGTCAAGACGCAAGACCCAAGAACCATTCCCGGCCGTAGGGTCTCCTATACCCCAAGCCAACTAGTTAGGTCCCCTAGTTCCATCACCCTCCCCTACTTAGGCACCACTTCTCATCACATCTAGCGCATCCTCCAAAAGCATGGAATTCGAGTCTTCCAAACAGCCCTTCTGAAGATGCAGAACCTGCTGACTTCACACAAGGATCGGTGTGACCCACAATGCAGACCTGGGGTGTACAGGATTCCATATCAAGGACCACCCAATCACCTGGAACCAAGCAGAACTACTCACTAGCATTGACCGCCGGTACCCCCGACGCATCAGAGAAGCCATCAAGATCATCAAGCATAACACTGTTCCCCAAGACATCGGTTTCCACATCAGCAACATCTGGCGCCCCATCCTCAAGTCCAAGTCCGATGGGTCTCCTATACCCTAGGACAACTTAGGTTTAGTTCTCGCCTATGGGTCACCTATACCCTGAGCTCCTTCCCCTTTGCCCCCTCACAGTGTACTGACATGCTCCAGTGATCATCCAGCATCCTTCAGTCAACTTGCATCCTGTCTCAGCTTCACCGGTTTCGAGCTTCACCAGTTTGCATCCTTCTCACGCCTCACCGCACCCATCCTTATAACATCGCATCATCGTTGGAATCCCTCATTCTCCTGACGACGAGCAGAGCATACTCACAAAAGAGATTTATTCACATGGTGCTACCGCAAACTTATTTTAGTATCTTTCCACCATGCAAATCTTCAAATCTCATGTTCGATATTGTTTTCTTCTGCTTGCATTACCCCCTCCTCTTTTTTTGTTTGGGGGGGGGGGGTGGTATTGAGAAAGGTAAGGGAACAGGTCCTTATGCATCATTAAGTATGCCCATAGCACTGGAGATTAATAGGTAGGTGGATTTTGGTGATCATCCACACCCCAAAGAAGACATTTCTCGTGTTAAGACTTAAAAGTGACCTCGAAACAGCATTATATATTGGCAAAAGTTGCACTTTCATCGTGCATATGATCAAAATTTTCGCGTGCATTTCGTCACAGCTGTGTTGTGATCTCGGGGATGCGAAATTAAAATAATAATCCTGAATACCGGTACTTAAATTTTAATCCTAGGCAAAAGTGTACATTTTGCCACACTAAATGGGAAACTAAAACTAATTCAATTTTTATGTGAAATAAAGTAACAAAAAATATTTTTAACAGGAGCGGAAAAAAAATTATAGGTGGTGCGAGGACTTGAAAATATAGACCAGCAGATTGTTAGGCTTTGTTGAACTGTAGCTTGAAAGAATAATTGTAATGAATCATGTTCATCAGTTCTCAAATGAATTACTCATTATAATTGTATGATTTGTTTTAGAAATCACCGGACTCCAGGGGCCGGTTACCTTTGAGGATTTACAACAGGAAATTATCGACAGCTACAAGCAAACTGCAATGACTATTCCTGTACACCCTGCACTGCAGACACGTCATGTGGGTATTGAGGAATTCTTTGTTCCTCTCCATCTAATAAAGAACATTCCAGGCAAAACAAAATCAGAGAGGTCGGTGACATTACCAGAACGAGATAAAGTGCACATAACTCTCAATTCATTGGATGATTTGTTAAATCCAGAAGTTGTTAAGGAAATCAAGATTCTTCTTATTGGTGGGGCCGGGACGGGTAAATCAACCCTGTTAGTGAAGGTTGCAAACTTGTGCATCACACTCAGTTCAAAACCCCTTCTTGGTAGATTCGATCTTGTGCTTTGGATAAAGCTGAGGCAAATGCAGCAATCCAGTTGCGTCTTGGATGCCATATTTGACCAAATTCTAGTACGAAACACCAAACTGACAAAACACATAGTGAAAGGGTTTATTGCTGATCATGAATCACGCATTGCTTTGCTGTTGGACGGAGTAGATGAAATTGCGTCTCATGTTTTGCAATCTAAGGAGGGCGTGTACAGGGTTCAGGATATCTTACACAACAGAGTCCTTACAAAAAGTTTTGTGCTGGTCACCACCCGACCACACATGGTCGAATCAGTACTCAGGTGTCACCCAAAATTTGCCCAGGTGGAAACAACTGGCTTCAATCCACAAGACAGAGATCAGTACATCAGATTAAACCTTCCTGATGATGCTGACATGGGAAAGGCATTGGTTTCATATCTGAAAACCAATCAACATCTATGGGAATTGTCTGCAGTTCCAATCGTTTCCCAGATGATGTGCCTTGTTTGGAAGAATCAAAAGTCATTGCCTGAGAGAATTACTGAGCTGTTTGCAAAATTTGCAGAGGTTCTTTTCATTCGCCGCAATGAAGAAATGGGTGATCAGCACATGATGTCCATCATTGACGACTTGGGGCGTGTTGCATTGCAAGGGTTACTAGACTCTAGCGGGGAAAGACTCGTGTTTGATGAAACTGAATTTCAGAATTGTCAGTCTTCCTTCGCTGAGGGTTGTCATGTGGGTTTTGTTCAACGTGAAATGTTCACATGTGGTCTGGATTTAAAAGTGCTGGTCACTTTCCCCCACAAGTCCATCCAAGAATACTTTGCAGCGTGTCACCTGGAAAAATTGCTAGAAGATGACGAAAACAATTTCCGTCATCAGTTGAAGCAGATTGGAGAAGGCAATGTTCTTGCGATGGAATACCTGCTGAGATTTTGTTGCGGTAGATCAAGGCCGGCTGCTGGTCTGATTCTGGATCACATACGAGAGATGCAAGGTGACGAGAAGAAACTGCAGAGATTGGCTCGGTTGTTTTTGTCTGAATCTGGTTCAGAAGAGTTGGCTACCAAACTAGTCAGACCAACTGTGGTAGACTGCAACAGTAACGAAGACCTGAAATCACTGAGCTACTACTTACAGCATGTCACTCCGCCACTTGAAGGTACATGTTTTTCCATGCATGTAAGAAAGCAGGTGCTTACCCTTCTCAAGGGAATTCTTCTGAGTGACAGCATGGAGTCAGCTAGGCTGATAGATGTTTACTACTACTTGCCTGAGCAGGAGGAGGAGGAGTTTAACCTTCTTGAGGAAACACTTGGTGAGGTAGATGAACAGCGCCGTGCTCAATTATACATTGTGGTTGGCATTGAGGCAAAGTCATGGTTTGATGTGGGGCGTGTATCACACAGCTTTTTCTGCATGCAGAAACAAATAGGCAGCCTTGGTTTGCATATGTTCCAACGATCACTGGATGAGGTTGTTGATCTATTGAAGGCACTGGAAGGATGCAGGTTGTTTTCGCTCACTCTGTATGGCACCAACCTGCATGCACGGGTGGGAGATGTCAGCCACATCCTGTCATCCCTTATAATCTTGCAGCTCAGTGCATGCACGTTGGTAGATGATGATGTGAAGGACCTGATCAGCATCCTTCCTGCTGGGCATGGTTTAGAATGGCTTCAGCTTGATGGCAATGCATTCAGTTTGGATGCAGTGAGGGCTCTCACCCATCATCTCCAAGGTCTCCCTGAGTTGATTGGGTTGTTACTTCGTAACATCAGTCTCCATGCTGTGCTCGTCAAACAAGTTGTCAGTCAAAACCTCCCTCACCTGAAGGAAACAAAAGAGGGAGATTTCCGAGCCTAAATAATCTCCCACCAAGTCATAACTCTCACCCTGTTCCCTATGAATGCACCACGCTCTCAAGGCACATTCAATTGAAACAAGTAGCATGTATCATGGGTCATTTTATGTAAAATCAATGCTCTGCAACCCCCTCCCCCCCCCCCCCCGCAAAAAAACTAACAATCAATAACAACAAAAACTATATTTTCAGAGGACAATAGGGGCTCGATAATGAATAGATAAGTCAACAAACAGGTTTCAATACAAATAGATGTATTCGGAATCCTCTTACATTATGAATACAAATATACCCAGCATAGTTGTTCATTCTACTGAACCCCCACCCCCCCCCCCCCCAAAAAAAAAAAAAAACAAATTTTCAATCCATCAATTAATCACTCAATCAATGTGAAAAGTCAATCAACAATTCCTGTACAAAATGATTCATTGAAATCTTCAAACATAATAGCACTGTACTAAGCATTCTGGGTGTCACTTGAAAGTGATATTAAATTGACCTTGTATCTTGGGTGACCTCTGAGTACTATTATAAATCCACAATCTAATCGTCAATTAAACAGGAGAATCCACCTCTCCTTTCCATTTCTTTTGAAAAATATCTTGTATCGCATCATCTTAGGGAAAAGTTGTGTGAGATGTCTTCAACTTTTGTGACAAAGGCCTCCTCCTACCCTGTTATCCGATCAATGTAGTAATATGGCATTCAAACAAACTAATGTGACCACACGCAAATGGCTGCACGACACCCTTTCATAGACCAGTGCTGTGCAAAACTTAGTATACAGAATAATACCCCAAACCTCGGGTACTTTTGAATTGTTTTGCGTTTGCCTTATGTACAAATTCGGAAAATTCTTGCAACTTCACGCCTTTTAAACAGACGTTTCTTTTGAGTGTTTGTGCTTCATTCTTTATCAAATCCTTTCTGTACATTAATGTAAATTATGCATAAAATGGCAAAAATTAAGATTCCAGTTTGCTAACTTTTGTAAAGATCTTTAACCTTGACTGTTTATGTAATAAACCTTTAAAGTGGTGCAGTTGTGTAAGGACAGTATAACGTGGATTTTGTTTACTATTCAACTATAGGCCTATGTCCATATTGAGAGTTACTAAACCAGTGTTCATACTGTCAAACAATTCATGTATAATATATAGGCCTACATGTAGAGTGTTGCATTGCCAAATGACGCATTTTTGTCAGAAGACAGTCATGTTTGCTCATTCAGGACCAATCATTGCAATTGTTGTATATGCAAAAATGTTTCTGTGTTTCTGATTATGTTGAAATAGGTACAAGTGGACAATTTGCTTGTTTTTATCATTGCAAGCCTCTTCAACGTATTGATTGACACTAGATTTGTTTGTTCCAAGTATGATCAATTTTCTCGTACCAAAAATGACATTTTTGTTTCTAACAGTTTTGATATTTTGCATTCATCCCAAAAGTAACCTACCGAATTGTAATCAAAAAGCTCACTTGGATTAAAGATCGTACTGGTACTAAACACCCTGTGAAATTATTCCGTCTGGCTTGCTGTCATTAAGAAGAAATCAAGAAATGTAGGTGATTTCCAATGATAAGTCAATTGACTGATTTGCAAAATAAGAAATCTTATAAATCGCGTTTATTAATCAAAGTTTGTGCATGGATATTTCACTATTTTCTTGAAATATCCAAAGCTTCAACATGTTAGGTTTTGAGTATTCTTCTGTGCAACAGTGATGATATTACATGTATTGGAAACGAACAAAATGCATGAAATACAAATGTTCCCATATGCCTTTAAGCCATGGTTTACAAACTACATAATTGTGATTTTTATCTTGTGATAATTAAT